AAATTAGTTGTAGCCGCGTAATTTACACAGATTTTTGTGAACACAGAACAATTTAGAATAGATACTCGATCAGAATAATTATTAGTCTGTCGTGGTAATTTATCGTGTAATGTAAATGATAAAGTGATAAGTGATAACTGAAAATGAACAAAATTGTGGACCTGGGTATAGAGCCATTGCCGMATATTTTACCACAACCATGGTATGATGCCACGGCCACTATGACGTCAATCAACCAATGGGAGTCGTACGTTTCGTACTTCCGAACGTTGAATGTATGCCGTTTCTAACATAATACACATAGGCCATAGTGCAAGTCATTTCGATCGTTTTTTGGCTTGTGCGGTTATACATATTATCGTTCTCATCCCCCCTCGACCCGTCCTCAACACTACATTCAGCGTCCGACACACTCACACGACTGCGCGAGCTCCGAGTCCGCCGCTTGGCATTCTCGTCTCTCACCTCAACCGTCTTTATCGTGTTAAGTGTTTTCTGTTCTGCGTCAGCGTCACTACTCACTAGTCTGTTTCTTTTTGATTTTTTGGGGCGTGSGTACGTCCTGCTGTGGATGTTTGTTGCTGATCGCTGAGTGAAGTGCTGGTCTTTGATCAGGGGAAGTCGTCTTTTACGATTTTTGGTTCGTACGTCGTACACAAACGCCGTCGAACCAAAGGTAAGCATTGAACATTTTTTACTTTCTATATGTAAACTTCAAACAACGCTTTCTCAGCTATGGTTGTAATTCGTTCACGCGAACGGTTTATGAAGCGTGAGTGGTTATGAGGATCTAAACCAATTCACTAATTTTGATTAAATTAGTTTTATTGAACAGAAAGCAATGGCCGCTTTGTTGTAAGGTATAGGTAATATATGTTAATTAAATAGTTTGAGTTCAAATATCATCTTTTGTTWCTCGACGACATTTTGCTTACTACCATTCCGATTCGTTTAAAAAACATTGTTTCTACTTTATTAAATTCCTTAGTGTTTCTTACAATATTTACCGAACAAATGTGAGCAACGAAATTTGCAGAGATCGAATAAAAAAAGTGTTGTTTTCTCGAGTAATTCGCTGTGACTACTTTACCATAGAAAGGCTTGAGACGCCATTTTTATTTTACGCATTGGCGACGGACCGGTGTTTAATGTTAAGGTACGACTATCGTCGTGCAACAGTTAGTAGTCGAAGTTTTAAGTCTGTATTTAAATTTTATCGAGTATAATAATGTGAATTGGGCGTATGGCGAACTGATTACTTAAATCTAACACCCTATAATAGCATAGGCTTCAACCAGAGTTAGGTGTTTGAGGACGCCATTTTTAAACTTAATTTATCATTGGTATCATGACGGGCCGGTCTAATGTCAGGGCTTTATATAGTGATAGTCATATCATCCGTATGTCGGATTGTCGTGCTATATTCGACCTTTATACCGTCTATTCGAATAAATTATGTTTCATATTTTTGACGATCACGCGCGCAATGCCAAATCGTTCTTTCGATATTCAAACATTTCAAACGGTGCGCGCCCTGTTGAGCGCGAGCGAGTTCCGTCCCGCGTTCGATTGTTGGCGACGCCGAGTTGCCGACGCGCCCGACGCCGGTTTATCATTACTCAAATATCCGTTTCGTACAAACGGTGTGGAGAAGTAGCGAACGCGGCGCYATATTAACCYACTCYGCCACCGCGTYGTTACAATGTTACCAACCCGGCAAACTGCTCGGKATTGCGGTATACTACAGATACCATTACCGACCGGACGCCATATACTGCCGCCAAGACGTGTTGCGTTGTGCGTACCAAACATGAAACAACAAACTCCGGTTCGTCAGTCGTCGGTTATTCAATATTCAGTATTTCAGTCGTTGTAGGCTATCCCGTATCCGATCGTTTGTGTTTCTTCGGTTTCAGTTTTTATTCTACTGTTAACCATTTTTAACGTTAACGTCTGATTGTGGCGATCGGTCGATTATCGTTTTCCCCGTTTTATGTAACTTTTAGCTGTGGTCGCAGTCGTGTATCACCGTCGTGCACTCGTGCGTTGTTCACTCGTTCGTAACGTAATGGCCGCCGCCCGGCGACCCGTACGTCGTTCGCGTAGTTCGAAAACGCGTGCTTGGTAATTTTTTTCTACCCGACCGCGACGTAATTGTTTCGCGCAGTTCATATAAATCATTGGTATTTTGTTTACAACGCTCAAATTGTCTGTATACTCTTTTAATTTTCTCTGGATGTCTATGTCAAGTAATTATTTGTTTTTTTTGCTTAATAATTATGTCGATRGTACATTCACTATTACTTATCTATAAAAATAATTCATAATAATTGTGAATGTAATTAGTGTTAACTATTTTAAGTATATCAACTTACTATCATTGTCTGTATATTTAATGTTGTGTTATACAAAAACATAACAATAATAACTAATTAGTAACCATTATTTTGACTACTGTACGATAGCATGACTATACTCTTCACTGTAAGTTGACCCGCTTCTGCGTATGTATATTAAGCCACTGATCTCAGACTCCTTTGATTGGAGATTGGTTAGTGGTGTTCGGTGATCAGCATTGTTCATCGTAGTAGAYAGCTGTAGCCCTACTCATAGCCCAGTATGACCCACTGTTGCTACAAAGGGGTGTTGACATGCAGGGTCGTTACTGGTCTTGTTGAACAAGTAGTCAACTTACAGTGAATACTGTTTACTGTTTACCAGTCAAACTTTTTTGTTTGAACATTATTAAATAAACAATATTGTATATTTTAACTAAATTGTGCATTTATTGCATATTCATGTAAAATTAAACTACCAACACAATGTTTTTAGAATCTAAAATAATATTTTGTTGAGCAGATAATTTTAATAATGCATCTTGTTGGTTTCTAACCTATTACCTATTTTTTGATAAACATAGATCAATTAAAGTGAAAAAAATATTAAATTAGTATTAGGTAGATATCTACCTAAATTTCCAGGTTAAATGTATTTTAAATTATTTCTTTAATTAACAATGTACCTATTAACTATAAAAAAACTATATTATTGTGTATATTTTCATGATTTACATAATATACCTTCATAGGTAGGCACCTACCTAAATCATGCGATATAATCTTTTATATGTACAAAATCATTCTCTTATCATTAACTAATCGCAATATAAATTATATTTTATTTTTATATAGTATCCTACATAATTTTGCCTGATATATAAGTTTGATTAGTAATAAATTCTGAGGCCTTAGACAACTTTTGAGAATCACTTCTGAATAAGTACATGCTTCCTAGTCATAAATAATAGACTTTTAGAATGAAGTTTCACAAATATAAAACATTTGTTATGATAAACTCCATCAAAATAAATAAAATAATTTTCAACTCTCAGTTGTTTGTATCTTAGAAGTTCTTAATGAATGAGCTAAGATTTTTGCTAGTTGACACCAGTTCCTCATATAGATCAGTAGACGGTTAGAAATACTGTGTTTTTTACTTTGAATATTTTTGGCATGTGTTATTTGGGGTTAATATTTTAATCACATTGGAATTTCCGTAATGGTGTGTTATCGCCCCGCCATGGGAATGAAAAATTTTATCRCTCCGCCAATTACGAACCATATCAAACATATTATTTTATTTATACCTACGACAATTATCGCTTTATTTTATTAGTTTAGGTGATTTTACTTAGCAGTATGTCCAGTATGTCTAAAGCTCTGTCCCTATCAGTGCTCAAACTTTTGAGTTTGTAACAAAACATTTTTCGTTTGGAGAAAATTAATAGCAGAATCTTCATTAGAGACTTCGRAATACAAATCTTTTAAATTCATTTTTCAACTACTGCAAAAAATACTTTGACATCTGATACGGACAGAGCTTTAGACATACTGGACATACTGCTTAAAATCACCTAAACTAATAAAATAAAGCGATAATTGTCGTAGGTACAAATAAAATAATATGTTTGATATGGTTCGTAATCGCTGCGTTCGTAATTGGCGGGGCGATAAAATTTTTCATTCCCATGGCGAGGCGATAACAGACCATTACCGGAATTTCTATTTACTATTTGTTATACAACCWTTATTATTTATACTAAAGTATTTGATTGTTTTTTAGCTAGGCTATATAATTTTAATTTGTTCTTTGTACCTATACCTATTGTGAATATCTATTATAAAGTAAAATAATATGTATTGTATATTTTATTTTTAATAGTATTTTTAATTATAATTGTTTAATTAGTTATTAGTTATATACCCGACCTAGAAAATTACATTATTTTTTTTTTTTTTAGATAAGATGGGTGTCTGTTTTCTTTGCGATTCAAAATTGTATGGCGAACGTACACGAGTATGTTCAAGCATTACACCACATAGTAATGTACCGTACCCAGAAAAAATTGTTGAGCTTATGGGAGATGAATTTGTAGTTATTGTAACCCCTGCTGATCACATGTGCAAGAAATGTACCTCACTTTTAACTCATTTAGACAAGTTGGAAAATGATCTGAAACTTGTTAAAAATGCAATGTTGTCATATATACAAAAGAAATATGGAATATTGCCTCCTGATCAAGCTGTTAAGGGTGTTGAGGTAAGGATAAAATCTTCTTAAAAAAAAGCTATAAATATTAAGTTGTTATAAAAAAATATCTTCTGCATAGATTGTCAATGGWCATTTAAAGGCAGAGGAACAACTAGAACAAGGTCAGCGTAAAGTACCTAGTGGCCTGACAGTAGGGGTTTCTCCTACTGTATCTACCACTGCCGTTGCAACTCCGGTGCAAACCCCATTAAAATTATTAAAAACACAACAGCAGCAGCAACAACAACAGCACCAACCACAACAACAACAACAACAGCAACCACCTCAGGAAAGTGCTAACAAAATGAAAATATATAAGTGTGGCTTTTGTACATTCCAATCGAAAGAGCTRGGACATGTTCGGTATGTTAATTTTTTAATATTATTTTAAAGTTATTATTTATACTTTTGTTTTAGATTCCATATGCGCACTCATATGAACAAAAAGGAGCCAGAAAAACCTATCCWTAATCAAGCAGCTGCTAAAACATTGACTCCGGTAAGAATAAGAAGAAAAAAATATACTTTTACTATATAAATTTAATTTAAAATTTTTAATATTTTTTTTGTATTTTTAATTTTACTTATGAATTTATTACKTCAACACTTTACAGCTTTCAATAATATATTATAATACTAATGTTTTTATTTATTGTTTTTTAACTGTTAAGATATTTACTTTTATAATTTATGAAACTCATTTATTATTATTATTAAGGCAGTTAATAATATGAGACAATTCTTATTTGATTTATTAATTTATATTAATTTAATTTAGGTACCGCAACAGAAAAAACGACTTTATAGATGTCAAGTATGCTCTAAATCCTTTGATAGCCGAATTAATTGTCTTGATCACATTCAGAAAGACCATAATCAGCCAACTCCATCAACCTCGAATGGAGTAAATAAAAGATTAAACATTTAAGTAAATCTTCCTATCTTATTTATTTATTTATTTTTATTTTTAGGAAAGAGAAACTGAAAGCTCTCGTCCAGCTAAAACTAAAGTTATGAAACCAGAAACATCCAAAACTCAAGAAAATAATCAGCCAGCAGAGACTCCTATGGATGTAGACGAAAATCAACAGGATAACAATAAAAGCACTGTAGATACGGATATGATGTTGAATGATAATGTTCCWACTGAAGGATCTGCAGATGTTGGAAAAGAAGAAGAAACTGAAAATGCCGGTGAAGGAGATAAAACTGAAAACTCTCGGGAAAAAAAGACTGTTAAAGAAGCTAAATCGGTAAAAAAATCTGAGTCTGCACAAGAAGCTGCTGAAGCAGACGAAGAGGATGAAGATACAGCCGTGCCCGAACAAGAAGAAGGTGATCAAGAAACTCCTGGTAGCATTGAAAAAGAAGTTAATGATGACAATGCGAATGCGGAAAACAAAACTGGGGATTTAGACATAGAATCAATGTTAGCTGCAATCCATAATGATAATCCTTCAACTAACGCTGGAGATACCCAAAGCAAATCTTAGGATTAATAGACSCTAATTAAAAGTTAGTAATCAAATTTATATTTATAAGTATCAGTTTCAGAATTCAAAATTTATTCCTCTGTTTGGCAGTTTCTTTTACATATTATAAATAACTTTAGAATGATAGAAATTAAGAGACTATCACTTATCATAATCTTATAAGTTAAATCACTATTTTTTCTTTTTTAAATTACTAAAGAGATTTAGATGAGGAATACAATATAAATGAAATTAAAAAAGTTAGATTTTGTTTGATAATAAACAAATTCTATTTAATGAACTACTTAAAATATACTAAACTAATGGATTTAAATCTAAAAGACATATTATGCATTTTTTGTCATATTTTAAGATATACGTTACATCAATTATGACAGCTTTGTTGGAAAATAAATCAATCAAATTTAAATTAAAAATAAATCTTAAAATAGTAGCTAGAATTATTAATTTTTGTTTTTCC